CTACAAGGTCGGTGGTTCAAGTTCACCAGTCACTCCTTGGAAACCCTATACATGGTCGCTATGAGTCAGAACCAACTCTACGGCACTTAACAACAACAACATATACATGTTGTTGTTGTTGTTATATGTATATATATATATTTATGCAAGAACGGGAAAATGTCATTGAAATATAGTGAAAATTTTCTATGAACGTTTTGAAACATACACACACACATAAGCAACTTCCATCTAGTCTATTCTAAGTCACAGTGATGCTAGAGGACAGAGGAGACCTGCCACAAGATGGTTCCAAGGCTGAAGCTTTAAGGAAGTGGCCTGCCATGTATTTGTTCCTCTTGAGTGGAATGGCAAGGGATTCGAACCACCTCCTTCGTTATCAATCAAGCTTGTGCCACTAGGGTTGGCTATGCACACATACATACACATATATGTATGTCCCTGGGTGGCGCAAATGGTTAAGTACTTGCTTAACTACAAACTGAAAGGATGGCAGTTCAAACCCACCCAGAGGCACCTTGGACGAAAACCCTGGTAAGCTCCTATCTGAAAGTCACAGCCTTGGAAACCCTATGGAGCAGTTCACAGGGCATTGGGAGTCTGAACTAACCCAAGGCAACTCGCCTGTATATGTAGTCTGAAATGAGACAAATCGAAGTAGGCCAACCAACCATGTGGATCTACAGCTGGAAAACTGAAAGCCGGAACAATAAAGAGGCTTGTCTAGGGTCACTCAGCTGCTCAATGGCTGAGCGAAGACACGTTCAGACACTACAGCCATTTACAGTACCCATCCTAGAGTCCCATGCTGCCTCCCCAGAACCGTTCATCCAGTTTCCTGGGGGTGGGTGGCAGGGGGTGGGTTTCCTGTAACAGGCCCTTGGGAACTTACAGAAGACGCTATGTTCTTCTCATTCCTCTGCAGGGTGGAGAGCCCATGAGAGACCTCCAGCAGGGTGGTCGTCCCCAGCCGGGAGCCACAAGCAGTGAGACACCCATTGTCCTGCACCCGGAGGCAGAAGAGGGCCTCATCACACACCTGTGTGGGGGGGAGGGGCCAGGCCGACCCGGGTGGGGAAGAGAGAGGAGGTACTGTTACCTGTGTTTGTGGAGTCAGCCATGCTGCCTTGTTCAAACAGTTCAGGGACTCCCTGTGACCCACAGGAGGGAGTTCAAACACAGAGACTGGCATCAAAACCCATCTCCATCAACCCCACCTCCTCCCAGCCCCACATGCCTCCCTCCCTCAGTCCCCCACATGCCAATGCAACTCAGCTCAGGCACACTTAAAGAGTCCATCACAGGGCCACATGTCCAGGGATTCTGAAGGACTAGGCCTGGGGTTGGGAGAGGGTAGGTGATTCCTTCCTAGGAACCAAACCAACCCCTTGCTTCCATCCTGCTGCATAGAGACTCCACAGGACAGAGGAGAACCGCCCCCACAGGGTCCCTAAGGCGTCTTCTTTATAGAAGCTAACTACCACTTCTTTCTCTTTCGGAGCAGCTGGTGGATTTGAACTGCTGACCTTGAAGTTAGCAGCTGAGTGCTTTAACCACTGCTCCACCAGGGCTAACATAGTCTTCCAAAGGCAAAGTGGTAGGCAGCTAGCATGGGACATTCCAGAAAGCTTCTCAACCCAAAGACACACACCCCCATCCCAGAGTCCCCCCCGCCCCCCCCGCCAGGACCAGGGGTGGACATGACCTTCAGACTGAGGGCTGGGTCACACTGCTTGAACACAAAGTCCCAGATGTCCAGGGTTCCGTCCATCTTGGTGGTGAAGAAAACTGCCGGCCTCACAGGGCTCCAGGCACCATCAGTGAGGTAAGCCATGTGGTACCTATTGGCAGCCAGGCATCACTGGTCAGGGGCCAGTGTGGATAGGGGGATGAACGGGGGAGCTTATCCCCATTTCTGCTCTGTTAGCTCCCCAGGCCCCAGGGGAGCTTGAAGAAGCAGGAAGTTCTTGCTCATGTTTGACACTAGCCACCAGAACCTCACCACCTGTCCACCACTTGGGCCTTGGTGTCCTGGTGTGGTGCTGTAGGATAAAGATTCAACCATAATGTTATTTGAACCTTGAGATTGGAGGTTCAAATCCACCAGCTGCTCCTCAGAAACCCTATACAGGATATCTATGAGCTGGAACCAACTCAACAGCACTTAACAACCACAACAGCAAAGGATCCCTAGTGGAGCAGTGGTTACAATACTAGACTGCAAACCCAAAGGTCAGTGGTTCAAACCCACCAGACACTTTGCAGGAGAAAGATGTGGCAGTTGGCTTCCACAAAGATTTACAGCCTTGGAAAACCTACAGATAATTCTACTCTGTCCTGTAGAGTCCATACTGGAATTGACTCGTTGTTAGTGGGTTTGGTAGGTTGTTGTTAGAAACCACTGAATCGGTTCCAAATGCTAAATCTGTTCAACTCATGCAGAGATGGAAGAGGACCTGGGCTCACCAGCACCTCCTAACGGCGAGTTCTGAGAAGGGCCCGGGAGAGGGTGGTTTGCCCAACACCCACACCTCCTTCTCTCCTAATTTAGGGCAGCCTGGCAGCCAGCAGGCACCTGCAAAATCCAGAGCAGGACAGAAAGCCTCCAAACGTTCTGGGGAAGGGTTTCATTTCTACCCACAATCTCCACACAAGAGCACTTATACATTGAGCCACTTTAAAACACAAGCTCTGGTGTTTGTGGGTGGATGGGAAAGGGCAGGGATGGTTTTCTGTTTTTTGGGGTTTTTTGTTTTGTTTTGTTTTGTTTTTAAGTGACTCCTGAACCAAGCAGGAGCTCCGGTAACATAGTAGTTACGAGTTGAGCTGCTAATCTCACAGTCAGCGGTTCGAAACTACCAGCGTTTCCGCAGGAGAAAGATAAGGTTTTCCGCTCCCTTAAAGACTAACAGCCTCGGAAACCCTATACGAGGCACGGCCACACAACCACCACCTGGGCGAAGCTGGCCCCCTCAACCCCACTCCACTCCATTCCCTTTTGCACTCACTTGGTCCACATGATGGAAGATTCCCGGCTGTCTTCAGACCAGATGCGGGCCGTCCAGTCCCCGACCGTCAAGAAGTTCTTCGGGTAGAAGGGGTTTCTCTGGAGGGCATAGACGGGGCCGTGGTGACCCGGGAAGGTGCACACTATCTTCTCAGCGGGCGTCTTGCCCTTGCGGTTGCAGGAGATGACGATGCCCTGCTCGGTGCCCACCATGAATTTGGTTGGCTGTAGAGTGAGTAGAAAGGAGCTCTGGCAGCGTAGTGGTTACAAGTTGGGCTGCCACCCTCAAGGTCAGCAGTTCGAAACTACCAGCGGTTCCCCGGGAGAAAGATGAGGCGCTCTGCTCCCGTAAAGATTTACAGCCTCGGAAACCCTGTGCGGGATCACTATGAGTTGGAACCGACTTCATGGTACTTAACAACAACAGAGTGAGTAGAAGGTTCTTTGAAACAAATGACAGCTCAGAGCTTCCAGGTTGTTAGAAACAGCCTGCTCCCAGAGGACTGTGGGCGCTGGAAGGGCTCTCAGGAAAAGCCTTTGCTTGGCTGTGCCCCTTCGAGGCAGTCCCATCTCATCAGACCCCCGACCCTCTTTAGAACCTGCTCAAGAACTCATCCATCCAGACTCTGTCACCAGCCCCCTCCATACATGAGCACTGTAAAGATCATGGACGCTTGTTCACATTGATAGAAAACAAAACTAAGGCCCAGAGAAGGCACGCAGAGTGGCCCAGATCACTCCAAAGACAACAGCCCTCACCAGCTTGCTGTTATTAGTTGAATATGGAGTTGGCGCCACCCCATGGCCATCTTATGTATTAGCAGAACAAACGCAAATGGGGGAAGGGGGCGGTAGCTGTCAGTTCACCCGCTGCTTTTCTTCTGGCCAGCTCCACTTGCCCCCCACAGTCACCAGCTGTCCCCCTGAGCAGGAGGCTGACCCCAGCTTGAGGAAGAAAGATGTTATCTAGCTCAGTCCCAGCTGGTTTACGAGATTGGTAGACCTCAGTTGCCGCCACCACCAGGGGGAGCAGGGGGCCCTGGAAATGCAGCCTCTAAGACCAACTCAGGAGCTCTGGTAGCATAGTGGTTATGAATCGGGCTGCTAATCTCAAGGTCAACAGTTCGAAACCACCAGCGGTTCCGCAGGAGAAAGAGGAGGTTTTTTGCTCCAGTAAAGATTTACAGCTTCGGAAACCCAACACAGGGTCGCTATGGGTCAGAATCGACTTCAACAACACTTAACAACAACAGGACCAACTCAGGAGTCCTGGTGTGCCGCTGCCGGCTAATGTGCTGGACTGCAAGGTAAGTTTGAACCACAAGATCAGGGATTCAAACTTACCAGCCACTCCTTGGAAACTATACAGGGTCTCTATGAGTCAGAACCAACTCAATGGCACTTAACAACAAGAAGACCTACTCCAAGGAACCCTGGTAGTATAGTGGACATTGTTGGGCTGCTAACAGCAATGTCAGCAGTTTGAGTCCACCAGGTGCTCCACAGAGATTTACAGCCTCAGAAACCCTATCCAGTGTCGCTGTGAGTCAGAACTGACTACACGGCAGGCACATTACTCCAGAAGAAAAATGAGGTTTTCTGCTTCTGTAAAGATTTACAGTCTCATAAACTCTATACAGGGTTTCTATGAATTGGAATCGATTCCACGGCACGCAGCCACCCGCTCTTAGGGAGAAAGATGTTCCAGTAAGAAAGTTAGTCTCAGAAACTCTATATGAATCAGCTCAATGCCATTGGGTTTGGTTTGGTTTGTTTTCTTTTTTAAAGACCTACTCTACACTTTCAGCAAGATGTCCGAGTAGGCAGATGAAGTACATGGATCCTCTACAACAAAGATGGTGGTGGTGGTTACGAGAGACCAAATGAAACAGACACAGATGAATCTTGAACTTCAGAGGAAAGGTTAGAGAGGTAGATGGAGAGCTTGCTGGGAGGAGAAGCCGAGCAGGGACTGCAGGAGAGAGAGACTGATGGGTGAACAGCTGACCAGATATGGCACGACCACCTTAAACTTTTGTGAGCAGCTTGGCCGACAGAAGGTAGCCTGGCAGAGCAGATTTGCACAGGAAACACGCAAGTGGGCAAGGTGTAATTCCTTCTTTTTCCCCATGTTTCCCTGGTGACCAGAAGTGTAGCCAGCTCCCGCCCTCATCCACCCCCAGTGCAGACCCTGCTCTCCAGGAGTTGGGAGCCATGTGGTTGGGAGCCACAGCAGTGTAAGGCAAGGGTCAGTTATGCCACTTTGGTGCCTGGATTCAAGTGGGCTCCATTTCAGACACACAGAACACAGAGTGCAACCAGACCAGCATTAGTCCTGTGGAAGCCCTCCTAACCAGCCACCCTGCCCCCAGCTGCCCTGTGGTCCTAACACACTAACTCCACCAAGGGTCTCCACAGACTATTCCTGGATTGAGTGCGCTGAACACAGATAACACCTAAGGTAGGAGCTCCACCTAGGGCCATGGCCTCCTCTGTCACACCCCCTCTACACCCACCTTGGGAGGTCTTTGGCTGGCAGGAACCCTCATACTTTTCTCCTCTCCAGGTTCAACAACTTCACGGTTTTTTGGGTTTGGGGTTTTTTGGGGGCTTTCCTTTTGTTGTTTTTCTTTTCTTATTTGTTCTTCTCTTTTCATTCTCTTGAATTTTATCCTTCCTACTTCCACTTTTACAGTTTAAGCTCACCAGCTGCTCCTTGAAAACCCTATACACAGTCGCTATGGGTTGGAACTGACTCGATAGCACGGAACAACAACATTCCCACTTTGGGTGTTTCTTTTTTACTTCTGTTGCTTATATCCTCTCTTCTTCATTTTTATTTATTTATTTTTTTACTACTCTATTCTCTTTCTCTCTATTCTCTTTCTGGAGTCCTGGTGTGGCCCTGTGGGTTAATGCACAAGACTGCAAAGCCGTTTGAACCACAAGGTTGGCAGTTCAAGCTCACCAGTTGCTCCTTGGAACACTATACAGGGTCACTATGGGTTGGAACTGACTCGATGGCACTGAACAACAACAATTCTCTTTCGTTTTCATCTTCCTTCTCCCTAGTTTTTCTAAGTGTTTGTGTTTTTTTTAATTTAATTTCTCTCTTATTTTTCTCTTCTATGGCTCCATTTTTCTTGACCCTCTTTTTGTTGTTGTTGTTGTGAAGTGCCATCGAGTCGGTTCCAACCCATAGCGACCTTGTACAGGGTTTCCGAGGGTGTAAATCTTTACAGGAGTAGAAAGCCTCATCTTTCTCCCGCGGAGCAGCTGGTAGTTTCG